CTCTCAAGTAAAAAAAAATGTTTAAAGTTTTAAAAATATTCACTAAAAATAAAAAAACACGAAAACTAAAAAACTCAATTTTCAAAAAACTTAATTAAGAAAACTCAAACCAAACACACTGATTATGATTTTTTTTGAAGATTTTGAACTAATCTAGCGTTTTGGTTAGAAATCAAAAAGTTGGGTTTTTAAATGGGTTGTTGGAAATGTTTGTAGAAAGGTGTCTATTGTTGATCTATGATGAAGTGATGGGTTTTGACCTTTGGAAATGATTTGTAAAGAAAAAGGGGATTTTGCCCTAGAAATATTAAATGTTGATCTTGTAAAGATAATGGAAATGATGCTGGGTTTTATGTAATTGAAACGATATCTTTCTCTACTCAAAAATGATTTTGAAAGAAAATGAGGTTTTTCTCTAAAACCATGGGTTTGACATGTGCTGGAAAAATATTGAAGAATGATATTGGTTTTGTAATATCACTCATGTCTTGATGATGGTGATGGAGGATATTGATGATGATGGTGGAGTTAGATATGGTATATCGCTCAAATCTTGGAAATGATAATAATGTATGTTGTTATTGAAATTTTCTATTTATTAGAGATATCTGTTTTGGGCTATCCGTAGAGGATAGTTATGATTGTTATAGAAATTGCATGAGAATTAGGTGAATTGAAACTAATTTCTCATCCATTTGCATTGAGTGTTGTCACATCTTTAATACATTGTAAATGTATGATGTTGGGAGAAGAAAGGGGTTGTACTCCATGTTTGGGAGAAGAAAATGGATGTACTCCATTGAATTAAGTTGGCTGGAGTGTCCATGATGAAAGTCCTGAAAACCACAAGTATACATGGGTGCCGATTCTCGCGGACGAAATATCCGTAAATGGCAAATAGAAGTGTTTGTGTGATGGTTATATTGGTTGGAGACTGTAGACGCCCTTACGACTTGGACGTCCTCGCATGCACACTCGATGATGAGTCTGTTTGCTTGCCAAGTGCTCGAAGTCCTCAGCGGAAAGCCACAACTTTGAGCCTTTCAAACCCTGCATTCTTTTTGTCCCATTTTTGAACCATGCCTTAGTCATTCCAGCCTACAATCTCTAGTAACTTGCCGGCTATCTCTAGAGGCTATCGGCCATCATTTTTTGGCTGCTGGCCACTGATGTGGCTTGCCGGCCACCAGTGTTTTCTGCAAATATTTTATGCCAGCTGTGCCAGCTGTTTGTACAGATGCATGCATCTGTCTACATTTGGAAGGCTGGATCTCCTTGAGGGAATTTCATGTTTTCTATACATAGAGACCCCCTCTCTCTTGTATGAATGTTAGAAAATTTTGAACTCAGAAATTTTCCTCTCTCTCTCTACTAATTCTCTACTCTTTAGCCTACTTACACTACACTCTTGCCTATACTCCCTTAACCAAAGTTGATCACCTTTGAGCTGAGGTTCCTTGAGGCCTTCTTGGAGCTCTTGAAGTTAGTTTTGGCTTGAATTGTTGCCTAGAATCGATCTTTGCTTCAAGAGGTATAATAGTTGCTCTATTAGCTTGTTTTGCATACTTGCTTTTCTATCATTTTCCCACTGTTTTTGGGCTATAAAAACTCTGTGTTTGCGGGTTAAAATTTGTGGTTTTAAGCCATTTAAGGTAGGGATGGTTCACCATTCTTTGTACCTTGTTTGTAAGGCTTTTCCACTTGTGTTTCCCACTTTCAAACTATCTTTTTCCAAGCTTTTAAACACTAATTTTCAGAGTTTTTTCAGTGGTGAAAATCATGTTTTGAAGTTCTAATTTGGAGGGGACAGCCTCCTTTCCTTATGTCGTGTTTGCTAGCCTAGTTGGTGCCATGCTTTAGCTTATTTTTCTAGCTTGTTGTAGCTTAATTTCAGCATGTTTTAGGCTCTGATTTAGATTGTTTTGTCTCTGTTTTGGATTGGTTAAGTCATTTGAATCTTGTTTTGCATGTTTCTAGTGTAATAGTCCTCACAAGCTTAGTGTTTTAGGACTTTAGACATCACTTGTTTGAGTTGATTGCATTGTTTTTATGCTTTTCTCACTCATTTTCAGCAAGCATAATCTCTGCAACCTCCCTTATTTCTTGGCTTTTAATTTGGCTTTGAAAGTGGTTTCAAGTCACATGCTTGCCTAAGTGTGAAATTGAGGTTTCATACTTAATGATTTAATCCCTTAGGGGGTTCATTACCAATGGTATAATGCTTCTTACATACCTAAAGCAACTTGTGTTTTGAGCCATCTTTCCATTAGAGAACTTTAATCACCTTTGGACTTAATTGGATTAAAGAATGGTTGGTAAAGTAAAATGAGTAATTAAAACTTGGGACTAAAAGTGAGTAAAGATAAAGAATTTGATTGTTTTCAATCGGTTAATTGAACACAAGGAAAATTGCGACATTGCATACTTAAAGTGATGAAATGTGCCAAGTTTCCTAGGTCTCCATTGCCCTTGATCATGCATGATAGTGTGATGGTTTTTGTGTCTTGTTGTTGCATTTATTGAGCTTGCACCTCTTGAGTCACAAGCCATCATGCAATGAAATTGCTTGAGTTGGTGGTTTGTGCCTTAAGTTCATCTCTTCTTGGATTTGCTCATGAAAATGAGGGGTGAATTGTGCAAACAAACCTTTGAAATACCTTGTATATGCTCTGTTGCAGCAAGATGAATCTGTGCATGAGTGGCTGGCAGGTGGCCGGCAGACCACCATCCATGGCCGACTGGTGGCAGGCAACCTTCATCTTTGGCTGGCTGGCCACTAATGCAAATTTCAGTAGAGTGTTGGTAAGGTGGAGCAAAATGGTTCTGGAAATGTTCAACTGTGCAAACAGAGGCATTCAAGAACAAAACAGTGGTCTTTTCAGGTGGAAACCGAGCATGCGCATGCACATCTCTAATTTCCCGAGGCAAAATAGTTAATTACTTAGTTTAATTATTAGTTGCAATTGTCTTGTAATTGTTTAATTAGTTAGTTAACTAATTATTTCATTTGTTGTTGTAATAATTAATTAAGTAGTTTAGCTAGTTATTCATTTTGGTTTGTAATTAATTAGGTTAGCTTAATTAGATTAATTAGCTTAGCTTAGTTAGCTAGGTAGCTTTATTCATTTGGACTTTGCTTCGTGAGGGCAAAATGTTGTAATAATGTGTATGTCTTCCAACCCCACGTCTTTCTCCCTTTTATTTCTCTGCTTTTGATGGTTAGATTAGGGGTATCACGTTTCAATTAGCATATCGCATGCTGGCATCCATTCATCTTGTCTTGCATGCACCGAGGCTCGGTTCATCATTCAAACTGCATTGTCGTTTAAATACTTCTTTGAATATGTGTTTAAACCACATGCTATTTAATTGATCCATATGCCATATTAGTAGCTGAGCCTATTAGTTGCATATTGCATGTGTTGCATTAGATATCTTATATAGTTAGGAATCATGCATATTTGTCTAACTTTGTTTCTTTGGCTTGGAGTACTGGTTGAGTTTTAGTGCTTTAGCATACTTACATGAGTGTGAGTGATTGCAATGACTAGCATGTTTGCCATGAAGCTAAGTGCTTACTTGTTGAACTGTTTGAATGCCTGTGGATGAAGGTTTGTTGTTTGAATTGGAATGATTCAATAAATGTACGTTTAAGCCCACTTTTTTAGTGGCAAATTTGCAAACTTTAAGCCCACTTTGTTAAGTGACAAATTCAAACCCTTTTTGCAAACAAACATGAAATTGAATTGTTCCAATTCTTGCAATTTTAGTCTATACTTGCTTGTGCGCATCACATAGTAATGCTAGCCTAATAACCGGAACAAGAGCATATAATGTAAATAAGATTCATATTATAATTAGTAGAGGCCGATCTTTGATCAGGCGAGCGGGGGTGCTCAATTCATGACCTTCTCCTCTCGTACCTAAGTTCCCAAGCTGAGGCAATTTTGGTGATGACAGACACATGGCTTTTGGCACGAGTCATGGGTTTACTAAATTTTTCCAAAATAAAATATTTAGGTGGCGACTCTATATCTGGAAAAACAGTTCAATTTTGATATTTTTGATTCAAAAATCGATTTTCTAAAAGATTTGCCGGATTTGGATTCTTTGGTGTTTATCAATTTCACATTGCACTTGTGAGATTAGATTCAGAACCGTGAAATTTCAAACTGTAAGGCTCTTTCGAGCTTCCAAAAGGGGGCGCGAAAAAGCTGAGTTACAGAGACCCACTGAGTTGTACTCCTAGTTTGGTTGTTTGAAGAAAACAGAAATGACACATGAATAGAGATAAAATGGATCGAGATATAAGTTCGACATAATGTGATTTTGCAAAAGAGTTATATATAACTTTATCATGAGCATTGCATATGTATTCACCTTATACCTTTGTTAAAATTCATATGTTGTGTTAGATTATTTCTATTGGATTTTGACTCACCCTATATGAGAAAAACATTTTCAGGTGCTGGTGATATGCCTCCGTCAACGCAATAACTTGGGAAGACTTGGAGCGAGAGCTTCATTTTTGTTTAATTGTGTATTTGTTTTGTACAAGCCAAGGGTTGTTAAATGTATCAGATTTAAATCCATTTTTTTGTAACCAAGTACTGGCTTGAAAAGTTGTAAGCATTTAGGGTATTCTCTTAATTGTTTATCTTTCATTTTACATTCTTCATCATGTAACATATGTTATAGATTTAGGGTTAGACTTGTGAATGTATATCCGCATATGTTGCATTTTTGTACAAGAATCTAGAAGTTAATGAAAGATAATTATTTCATCTTGTATTGTTGTTCGATTAATATTGTAGACTGGTTATTATATTTATTTTAAGGTGTTATAGGTGGGTTACGGGTTTTACCCGCACCCCCACACACACACCCGCCCGCACTCTTCTTATTTATTTATTTATTTATTTATTTATTCATTCTAGAATCTGGACCGTCGATCTTATCTTTCATAGTATATTTTTTCCCCAAACCCTAATCCTCTCTTCTCTCTTTTCTCAGCAGCAGCAGCCTTTCCTCTCACTCTCTCACTCACTACTCTTGTTGTTTTATCTCTCTCTCTCTCTCTGTGGCATCTGGTCGGTGATTGGCAGGTGCGATGACCTTCACAACACCTTCGACAACACCTGCAACACCTTCGGCAACACCTTCGGTCAGCTCACCTCTTTAATTTTCCTAACATTGCTGTGTGCTTTTCTTTCATCTGCAACTTGCTGTGTATGTATATACACATACATATACCAAATAATATATATATATATATACACGTAACTTGCTGCTGTGTATATATATTCCAGGTATTTTTTTTTTGCTTTGATTTTAGTTCTGCTATTGTTGTTATATATTTCAGTTATATATATATATATACGTAACTTGTTATTGTTGTTTTTCTAATGTTTTGTAGCTATATGCATGTATATATCCGGCCTCTTTACTTAATTTTTATTAATTTCCTAACTCATTTCTTTGTGATTTCCTATAATTTGAGTAGTTTCTTATGATGTTTTGCTATGGATGGCTTTATTTTTTAATGTTTCAACTACAAACTTTTTTGCTCTACATAGCTTTCATGATAAGAGATATGTGATTTTATAGCTCAAAAATAAATTTTTAAAGAAAAAATCAACTTCGTAAACCGTGTGCACATTCACAAACTTTATGCACACAAATCGCAACACGCATTGCGGGCGGTTGCAGGTTCAATTTTTTTGAAAATTGCAGACATGCAGGCGGGTCCAAACCACAAACCAAACAATCAAAAATCGATCTGCGAGCACTCTTAGGTGTTAGCGTAACTTTTTAAGCATTTAGCATCCCTTTGAAAAGATTGTGTTCTTTTAGGCTAATGTCTTTTATCACTTATATGTGAGATATTTTGATTTTCTTTTATATTAACTCTACTCGCATACGTTGAGAGCACATAAATTTGCACTGTATCTAATGATTCATTTGTTGAGTGAAATATTTGTGAGATTTGAATCCAAGCCTGCTTATGATAGAACTAAAGTCTTCTTTTATTTTGAGATTAAATAATATTTTTTTTGGTTATAATTTACACACATATTGAGATTTGAGATAGATAAATTATTTTTACTAATTGCTAGTGTTCTAAACTCTGATAATTCTTTTGCTAATATGTTAAAATTAACAATTATCTCTGTGAATATTTTCTTTAAAAGTTTATAACAGAAAAAAAAATTTAAATTTTGTGAGTATATTCACTGTAAATCCTCACGAGACTACAACTCGTCCACTAGGAGTAACCTAGGGGTTTAAAGACTAGTTGCATATGCTAAATGCAATCGTATTCCCTACGAAAATGGCATAGATAAATTTTATTTTATTCTTAGTTTGTTTTGCTTGAGGACTAAAAAAATATAAGTTGGGGGGTGTGATCGGAATCTAAATATTACACATTTGGCTTGTTAACATACACTTTATTAGTTTATTTATTTGTATTATTTTATAATTTTGTATAATATTATGTGTTTTCATCCATTTTAAATGTTTTTATATAAATTGTTGTATATATTACATTTTAATATAATTTATATGATATTATATAATTTTAATAATATTATATATATAATAAAATAAATAAATAAGTAAAAACTCTATATTATAATATTATATTTATTTATTTACTGTTTTTTTTTTTTTCCAGGTCTTTCTCTATAAAAAGAGCTAAGTTGGGAGGAGAAGGGAAGGGGGAGAGCAAGGCTCTAAAGCAAGAGGAAAGGATAAAGAAAAATAGAAACAAAGGGAAAGTGGGGGAGTTTAGTTTGTACATATTAGAGTGTGGTAGTTTCGGGAGTATGCGAAACTAACTTCCTTGTCTTAGGGTTAAAATGAAACCCTGATTAAGTAATAGTGGTGAGTTGTATTTAGTATTTTAAGTTTTGATTTGATTTGGATAAATTGTGTAATTTTTAGATTTTTTTGTACAATAAATGTTCTATTCAAACTATGTTATACAATTGTTTTCACTGTTGTGTATTAAAATTGTTAGACGAGTAATACCTAATAAGACGGGTTGTGCATCAATCGTATTTTAGTGTAATTTAGTGTTGACGTTTGTGTTAAGCGAAGATAATTCGTGCTTTCGGATTTTAATATACAAATTTTCTTGACAATGTATTTTTGAATCAAAATACATTATATTATTCAAATTAATGATTTTTTGAGAACTATTATAATAACCCATGAGAAATTTCTTATTTTGTTTTATTTTATGTTTTGTTATAGTAATTAGTTTTAGTTTTATTATTTTCAAAACCAATCTTCTTCAAATTATTTTAATTATTATTTTTGAATCAACAAAACTCGATTAGTCCTTGAGGGTCGGCACCTAATATTAACCACTATACTTCGGAGTAGTAATTATTACTTGGTTTTAAATAGAATATTTTGGTATGTAAATGATCACATCACATTGTAAATAATTTAAAAGGATAAAATGATTTTTGAGAACTTATCTTCATAATTTTCAACTAAACATGACATTTACTATAATAATCATTTTCAGACATTTAATTCCATGATAAAAACAAGTATGGGATACACATCATTTCAGCCAAATAGTCCCAAGACTAAGAGTCTGTTGCATCACAATCCTCTCATCGAGTCCATCCAAACAAACATGCCTTATATGGTTATATGGAAACCTCTGGATAAAAAATGTTTCAATGAAAAAATATGTAACACTAGCTTAAAAAAAATGTAATTTGAATCACAAATTATCTTAATTCTATTAAAAGATTTCATTATAAATTATCTTAATTTGCACACACTAGACCAACTCTTTAGAGTTATAACAAGGTGCATATGATATACATTTTATAAAAGAATTTTTGTGGTATACATGTCCCTTGAATATTTTAGAGCTCTTATTTTATTTTATTTCATTTCATTTTTTAATAAAACTTTTATAGTTTGTCCATTTAAATGTTTATGAAAAATCCCCCTCTCCCTCAGTTGAATTATTGTTCCACATTATGTATCACTTATACTTATGAACAGTGACGGAGCTAGAAAATTAAATTAGATGGGACACTTATTAATTGCAATAATTTCTACATAAATATTTCACGCAAATTTTTACGATTGATTTCAAGAAACATCAACAAAAATAATTAGTGTGTTTGGTTTCAATTTTCTGAATTCAGTTTTTTGAAAACTGAGTTTTTTTATTTTTCGTATTTTTTTGTTTTTAGTGAATATTTTTTGAATTTTAAGTAATTTTTTTACTTTTGTAGATGCACCTTATTTAGATATATCTAAATAGTAAAATGTTTGTAAAAAATTAATAAATACACAAAAATACAAAAAATATACTGAATTTTTGTTTTTTTGTATTTTTTGGTATTTAATGCATTTTTAAATATTTTTTTTCACAAATATTATATTTTTTAAGTGTATTTATGTTAGATGTGTCTAAAAATTTAAAAAATTTCTTAAAATATTAAAAAATTCATTCAAAACATTAAAATATGAAAAATAAAAAAGTAAATTTTCTGAAAACTGGAAACAAACAAGCTGAATGTTATTTATAACTAGTGTATCATGGACAATACAAAAAAAAATATGGATGTAAGCCTTAAAATAAATTATATAATGATAAATTATTTTTTGATACAAAATTTGATTAAAAATTTAATATAATGGTAATACCATGTCATCATTAGTATGTGATATAATCCACTGATGGTAAATAAACGCATAAAGAGTGAACTTCACATGTCAAATGTAACTAACAATCTAATAAATTTCATATCTTTATAGTGAGATTACTTTTACTTGTATATCACTAATAACGACATCGCCGTTACATTCAAAAATTTTCATAGCTAATATGATTTATTTATAATAGTCTCTTCATTTTCAATCAAAACAACCATTATTATATTAGTCTCCCTCCGCCACTGCCTATGAAGTTGTCTTTCAAAATTCTAACAAAAAGTACTTAAGTTCCACAATTTTAATCAATAAATATCAAGTTAAGGCATCATGTGAATTCCCAAGACCACATAATTTCTCCTCCCTCTCTCTCTATATATGTATATATATATTTTGTTGATAATTCAAGATATCTCTCGTTCAGTCTAGTTGGACCCAAGGTATCTTTATCTTATAGTTAAAAACTAATTCTCAAAAGTTTTTAAGTTAACAATCAAACAAACCTCCAAAAACCTCTTGGGAAACTGAAACTCGAAATCTTTTGAGTTTTATGCTTAGATTTTTACTACTTTTTGCCAACTAAAGAGTTAATTTCTCTCTCTATTTATATATCTTATTTCCTCCAAATCACTACTAGGAACCAGCGCTATCATGTTTCAGTTATAGCTTCGGCATTATTCATGGTCATCAAATGTTAATCTTCTCGTATGGAATCTACTCTACCATATAATATATCCCAAATAGAAATTAGGGTTGCTTTTCTTATATCTATTAGCTTATTTTTTCTTACGAAAGAAAATATCATAAATGTGAGCATGTCAGTAAGGATTAAAAAATTCTTACAAAATTATCAAACGATTGCGTTAATGGTTCTTTTGCTTTAATGAAGATGACTTCAAAATTACCAAGTGTAGAGAAAAAGAAAAGATTAAAAAAAGAAGAGAGGAGATGGAGAAAGATGATTGAGTGAACAATCAAAGTAACAATTAATTTACCTCTACTCCTATGCTTCGAGAAGTGCTGAAAATAAAGTGCATGAAATATAAATGACAAGAAAAATAGAAATCAATTATCTTTGATTTGAGTTGGATCATTACAATGTAGCCATGAAAGACTATTTATAGGCAAATGCTTATAGAAAAAAATTACCTAGTAACTACCCTATTCTTCCATCTCCTCCACTCTATACTCAATGATCATTCACTTCATTTCTATGTTTCCATAACTTTCTTTAATCTTCACTTCATACTTCATGTTCTCCACTTTGTCCTCTATCATCTTTTTACAACGAAACGGGGTAGGTGCTGTCACAACACCACGTTGTGATAGCAAAACGACGTTGCTTCCACCGCCAATCCTCACTCATAACACCATCTCGTGCTCAATTACTCTCTTATTTCAGGTATTATAGATTGTTTATGTGTATATATATATATGTATGTGTATGTATAATTTATATATGTGTGTTATTATAGAATCCACACCCTATATGCAAATATGAATGTCATAACTAAAAATAATAATTATTAGTCATAATCAAAGATCATATAGAGAATAATCTAAGACCTTTTCCATCATAATTAAAATAAGTCACAATTAATATCACAATGAGTGATAATTAGGGACAGAATCAAAATTTCATTATCGGAGGGGCCACAAGATAAATATTTTTTTTCCCACTATGTACACAAACACACACATATATAGAATATGATATATAAATTATATATATACAAGAATAATCTAAGACCTTTTCAATCATAATTAAAATAATAATTAAAATAAGTCACAATTAATATCACAATGAGTGATAATTAGGGACAGAATCAAAATTTCATTATCGGAGGGGCCACAAGATAAATATTTTTTTTCCCACTATGTACACAAACACACACATATATAGAATATGATATATAAATTATATATATACATAGAAAAAAATTAAATACTGTAGAAGCAATCTCTAATTGGATGAATAAGTTTTCTTGGTGCAAAATAGAAAGATAATACAAGGTGGGAGAAGAATGAGATATATATATATATATATATTTATATTGGGGGTCATTTTATGTATAAATTGATATAAATATTTTTAAAGTGCTATGACAAACAATATTTTTCATAGAAATAGGGGGCCATGACCCGCCATGGTTTTCTCCTAGTTCCATCACTAATCATAACCAAGTTATAATTAATACTATAACAAGTTATAACCCAAAAACAATGTGCCTTATAAAATTTTTCTATATATCTTACATGTGTATATTGTGATAGTGATTGTAGACACCCCATTTTTGATCGTCCTCAAGATTTGAACGTCACCGCTTGAACACTCGGTGATCATCCATGTTCGTGCTCGTTTTGAGTTCCCGGAGGTCTCGGCTACGCGCCTTGCCTCAGGATCTCTCAACTCGACTGTTTTGTGTTTGATTTTGCACCAAACACTTGTGTTTTCTTCTGAGGGTAGAGAGTAGCTTGTTAGCTACCCCTGACACCCACCGGCCCTGGATTGAGGCCACCGACCGTGTCTTCTTGCTACTGGCCATTGATGAAATATACCATTGGCCGGTCGGCATTTGGTGTGGTCGCCCGACCATCTGTTTGGCCGATGGACTCCTTTCTGTCCGATACCACTTTTTTGCCTTTTTTAGGCATAATGCGTGCCAGCTGTGCCAGCTGGAATGCACGGACCCTGCCCCCCATGCACGGGTGTGGCTGTTTTAAACCTTTGCACCTTTTTGGTCCAAGCTTCCTAGAGAAGATTGCACCCTTTGCTCAAGCTTCTTGAGGAAGCTTGACCCTTTGTCATAGCTTCCTCAAGAAGCTTGCACCCTTAGCTTAGCTTCCCTTGGAAGCCTTGACCCTTTTTGAATAGCTTCCCTTGGAAGCTTAGTCTTTGCATTGTCTACAAAAGAGACCCCTCTTCTCCTTTGATGTGGTTCAGCAAAAACCAGAGCAAAATACATATATATATATATATATATCTGATATACACTTTCTCTCTCTATATCTCCCTCTCTCTCTTCATTTGTGTGGGTTTTAGAGCCTAAAGGTGTGTTTTCTTCTTAGTTTTGCACTAAGACACACACCATTACACCATACTTCGACTTGGGAGGTCTTGAGGGTTTGTTCTTGAAGTTTTAGATCGGTTTTGATCAGAAGAAGGTGGCTGACCTTGCTGTTCTTCAAGGGATCTTCAAGGGTAACACTATTGCTTTATATTTTCCAATCTTGCACTAGTCTTTAACCTATCTTGCATGCTATTTTAGACTTTGTGTATAACTGAAAAAAGTCTTGTATT